GATGCTGCAGAGGGACTCTATCAGGCACTGGAGTGACAGGACAAGGGGTGATGGGTTCACACTTAAACAGGGAAAATTCAGGTTAGATCTCAGGCAGAAGCTCTTCCCTGTGAGGGTGCTGAGGCGCTGGCACAGGGTGCCCAGAGAAGCTGTGGCTGCCCCATCCCTGGCAGTGCTCAAGGCCAGAGCCTTGGGTTACATGATCTAGTGGAAGGTGTCCCTGCCCGTGGCAACAGGTTGGAAGTGGATGATCTTAAGGCCCTTTCCAACCCAAACCAGTCTGTGATTCAATGAAGACCCCCTTGGACTGGGGTGGCCATCCCCTCCCACGTACATCCTATTGCAGCCACATGCATTTTTCAGTTCCCATCTGCACATGGAGTTAGCAGTGCTGATTTCCTTTGGAAAAGGCCCTGCGATTATTATTAATTATGAAAATAAGAGCACGTTTCCCTATGTTGCTGATGGGCACGATCCTAATTGCCAAGCTGAGGGGCCACGCAGGAGCTCTCTGAAGCAGCAACACTTCTGTTTGCTCAGTGGCAGAGCAGTTGGTATTTTCTCATCGCTAGCGTGCAATCTGTTTGTTTTACCCTTTGCTGTCACATCAATTCAACGAAGGGATCGTTACAGAGCTTTGCACATGACATCAGGCATCGATCTGGACAGAGGCAGCGACCTGCTTTCTCTGCCTGCAGGGAAATGGCAATGCAGTTCAGAGCAAGCAGTGTCACTCCCGAGCATCCTCACATCAAGGAAAGCTCAGGAATAGTCCCAGATACCCCCTGGGAGCAGTGAAGACATCATGGTTTCCATGTGCACCATGGCTGAACTGGGTTGGTTTTTAAAGGCACAGTGTTACTAAGTAAAGGGTATCCTGGCCTGAGGTATCAGCACCAGTGTGGCAGCAGAGCCAGGGCAGTGATTGTCCCCTGGTGAGGCTGCACCTCGGATCCTGTGTTCAGCTCTGGGCCCCTCGCTACAGGAGAGACATTGAGGTGCTGGAGCAGGGCCAGAGAAGGGCAGCAGAGCTGGTGCAGGGCCTGGAGCACAAGGGTGATGGGGAAGGGCTGAGGGAGCTGGGGGGTTCAGTGGGGAGAAGAGAAGGCTCAGGGGGGACCTGATGGCTCCCTACAAGTGCCTGACAGGAGGATGGAGCCAGGAGGGGCTGGGCTCTGCTCCCAAGGAACAAGGGATGGGACAAGAGGAACCGGCCTCAAGCTGCACCAGGGCAGGTTTAGATGGAGCTGAGGAACAATTCCTGCCCCAGAGGGTGCTCAGGCATTGGAACAGGCTGCCCAGGGCAGGGCTGCAGGCACCGGCCCTGTGAGTGTTCACACAGCGTGGAGGGGAGGCCTCAGTGCCATGGGGCAGTGGTGGCCGTGGCAGGGCTGGGAACGGTTGGACTGGGTGAGCTTGAAGGGCTTTTCCAGCCTTGTTGGTTCTATGATTCTATGCAACCCTCCTTAGGTGCCAGCATCACTCGGATGTTAAACCACAGCGAGCTTTGCAAAGCATGTGTGTTTTCTCACAGCGCTGTGGGTGTCTCGGCTGGGTCTGGCCCCCGCAGTGCTTTTAGCAGCACTGGGATCCTGCTGTTCGCCTTCATAAGAGGCTGCTAATGAAAAGCCTGGAAAAGAGAGCAGGAGTGAGGCTGCTGGAGGAGATGAAGGGGACAGGTTTCTGCTTAAAGATCAGATAGGAGAACCCCAGCGTCTTGTATCTGGCCTCATCTCCGCTGCGGATGGCTTGGGTGACCTTGTGGAACCCAAGTAATGGCTCTGTGCCCGCGTGAGAAGGCAGCGGCCACCCTTTGTCCTGGAGGAAGGCAGTTGTGAGGTAAAGGCATTTTTTCAGCTGTTTGCTCACCCCTTGTGATTATTTGCCTGAAAGGGGTGATTGTATAGCAAACCTGCCTGGTTCAACATTGCCGAAAGCGTCTGTGTCATCATCTGATTGTGGTGTTTTCCTTGTGAAGATAAAGGCCTCGGTCCAGGGCAGCATTTCAGCACATGCTTCACTGGGAGCCTATGGGAGCATCCACGTGTTGGTGGCCAGGGCTTGTGACCAGCCAAAGTACGTCAGCGTGAGGAATGACGGGGTCAGAGCTCTCCTCCCACGGGCTTTCTTTGCTTGGTTCTTATCTTCCTGCCACTCACTCTCCATCACTAAGGTCTCTCTTAGGAGTTTCAAAAGGCTTTTGTCCCTCTTGGTTGACGTGAAGTTTACTGGGGACCTTGTGAGCTGAAGCCCATGACCCAGCACTGTGGGATGTCATCCTTCATATCCCACTCATGCCTGGATCCCATGAGATGGCATCTTTCACATCCCACTCCTGCCCATATCCCGTGAGATGGCATCTGTCATGTTTTACTCCCACCCATATCTCATAAGATGGCATCTTTCATGTTTTACTCCTGCCCATATCCCATCAGATGGCATCTTTCACTGCCCACTCCTGCCTGTATCCCATGAGATGGCATCCTTCTCATCCTGCGCTTGCCTGTATCCCATGAGGTGGCATCCATCACATCCTGCTCCTGCCTGTATCCCATGAGATGGCATCCTTCACATCCTGCTCCTGCCTGTATCCCATGAGATGGCATCCTTCACATCCTGCTCTTGCCCAGATCCCATGAGACAGTATTTAAACTGGTTGAGTAACCTGGAAAGTGGGCATTCACACTGGCAGGGCAAGGCAGGTTGCTGTAAGAGAAGACAGCAGAGGTGGTGGCGGCAGAGTCTGAGCAGATGGCACCCATCTTTGGTCTGCTCACATGGCAAAAGAGAGATGGCATCAGCTTTCCACCTCTGATAATCATGAATTTAAGGAGAGAAGACGGTGCCTTCACAGCTTCATTTTGCTCTATGTGATTCTTGTGGCCAAAAGGCTTGAGGGGGAGTCCCATCTGGATGGTGCTGAGCCGCAGGTGGAGCCATGCTTGGCCAGCAAGGGGTGATTTTCAGGGAGCTGCAGGCTCCGCATGGGCTGTCTGCAGGCTCCGCATCTCCCTGCTTGCATCAGCTGCTGCAGCAGGGACAAGGGGATGCGATGCAGCACCAGCTCCCCCATCCCTGCATGTCCTGCAGCACGTGAGGAAGCCCCGTGATGCCGTTCCAGGCGAGGCTGATAACGTTTAATGGAGAAAGGAAATGATTTAAACCACAGATTGCACTCTTATTTTAGGAATGCTGGCTGCTGTCATGCAGTGTATTGCAGCCAACAATCACCAAGGACGTCCTAAAGCAGCGAGTGCTGCGCATCAGCAGGATTCCTCACTGTGATCTCTATCACATACGCAGTGCAATGGGCTTTGCTTTTGATCTGATGCTAAAAGGGACAGCTGCAACTTCCTAATAAAGTCATTGCATGTCAGTCTCAAGTAAAAAACACAGAAAGGATTGAATCTTGACATTGGGGTTGTGAATATATACTTGTAAGGAAGGATTTATGAAGCGTACAGTGGCATTACAGATTTAAAGTTGGTATTAGTTTATCACTGAAAAATAATTCTATGTCATGAAGGTGCGCTTTGTTACATTGCTGCATTTTGCCCTTCACCACGTAGGGGAGAAATCTCTGTCATCTCACTGAGAAAGTGAAAACGATGCTTTTCAAAACCCCTATGAGAATCCTTGCTTTGGAAATCCTCAGCCTCTGTAACGAAGAGGATTAAACCAAAGCAGAAACGGAGAAGAGCTACTGCCTACTTTTGACTTATTTAAATATGCACGGAGCTTCCTCCATTTTAATCTCCCTCATCCAAAGATGGCTGTGTGACTAGAGCTGGCAGCCCCTCGGAAACCAGCATCATTTTCGTGTCAGAGAGAGCAGCTGGGCAAGGCTGAGGTGGAGTGGGGACCCCCTTCAGCCAATTAAGCGACCAGGAGCATTCGTAATCCCTAAGTGCTTCCAGCTGAATGCGTTTGGATCAGTTCTCCTTCCTCCGTGCAGCTCCTGATTTCATTCTTCTCTCCTGCGAGCAAATACACCCACGTTCAGCCCTCTGCAAAGATGCTCTGCCGGGCTCGGCTGTGTCTGGGATTAGCAACCACCGGGTTCGGGGGGATCTCCGGCTCTGATGGATGCTGCCTTCTGTGATTGACCGGGGCAGGGGGTGTCCGTGTGTGCCCGAGGAGCATTCCCATCCGACCGGCGGCTTCTCCGTGAGGATTTGGGGACGGTGCTGAGGAGTTTTCCAAAATGCCTGAAGCCAACTATTTATTGTCTGTGTCTTGGGGTTATATTAAGGTGGGTTTAAATCCTCGAGGCTTGTAAGTGACTGGGTTTTGTGCTGTATTGCTTGGATAGAACCTCTATAAGGAAAACATGCTTTTAAATGGTTATTTGTGTGTACTGCAGGGCAGGAGATGTACGTACGTTTGTACTGTGCATGCAGCTGACATGTATGTAATTTTTCCCCCATTTGGGAATTCAGTGGTGCAGGATAACATGATGCAGCAATGAAAAGATGTGGTTGTAAAATTGGGAGGATCGCAGCATGTATCTCTGAGGGAATCAATGCTTGGATCCTGCATTTTACTGCAATGACCCAAGCAGATGTTCAGATTTATGGCATGTTTCTCCTCTGCTATGCTCTTCTATGCAGTTGTCTTTTACTGGCATAATACAAAATGGAGCAAACTTAGGAAACGCAGAACAAAAGAAGGTTATAGGATGTGGGATTTAAAAGCAGTGCAAGAATCTGATCGTTCAGAGAGATTACCTGAAACGTTATCTGCTCATTTCTTGCAGTAAAAACTAGTATGTTTGTGTGGAGGAAATGAATTTTGCAGTTTAGTGTACTGAAAGGAAATCTCTCCTCATGATGCTGCTGAGCAGTATCTAAATGAAACCATATGCAGCTGTCTCCATTCCAGATACCTCCAGGATTTTGTTTTTAACATCTCATTTGTGAACTCGCTTCTGATAAAGCTGTGTTAATTGGGAAAAGCATCCAGAAAAAGACCATCTTTTGTCTGTGCTCTTTCCCTCCCAGTTCAAGAGGATGCTGAACCGGGAGCTGACACACCTTTCCGAGATGAGCCGCTCCGGTAACCAGGTGTCCGAGTACATTTCCAACACTTTCCTAGGTAAGGAATCACATCCCAAGCTTTCGGGTGACTCAAAGCTCAGGATGAATGGAAGCCTCACAGCCACCAGTCAGCACTTGTGCCCAGTTTGCCTTCAGGGCAGAGCATTAGTTTTGCTTTTTCACTTTCAAAATGGATCAAGGGAGGGGAATAATACAGGGTTTGGATAAGTCTATCCACGGGGGAATGCCTTCTCCAAATGAAAAGAGGTTTCTGCTCAGATTGTATTAAGCTGCTGGTAGCTGCCTTGTGCAGGATTTGGTTTTGTCTTGACCTTAAGTAAAGGACAAAGTCACACAAGCCCAACTGCATCCTCTCATCCTTGCAACTGCTGCCTCATGCAGCTACATCTTCCCCCTTCAGAGATGGGGGTCAGAGAAGCAGGTTCAGCCCTGCCATTTTATCTTCTATGTTACGCTGTGTGTATTTGCTCATTTTGCACTGGAAGTCAGAATAAAGAGTAGGAACAGTATTTTGAATGTCATTAGATTTGTTGGATCTCGTAGGACTAACTGACAGGAGTGAATGCTCTCGGTTTACAAAACAGATTTGTTATAAACCCCTGAATCTTCTGTGTTCTCCAGCAGCTTTAGAATTTGTGACCATTTGTATATAAAATGAAGCTTTGCACTGCACCTAAAGGGGCTGCAGGAAACGTGGAGAGGGGCTTGGGACAAGGGCCTGTAGGGACAGGCCAAGGGGAATGGCTTTAACCTGCCCGAGGGGAGACTGAGATGAGCTCTTAGGCAGAAGCTCTTCTCTGTGAGGGTGCTGAGGCGCTGGCACAGGGTGCCCAGAGAAGCTGTGGCTGCCCCATCCCTGGCAGTGTTCAAGGCCAGGTTGGACACAGGGGCTTGGAGCAAGCTGCTCTAGTGGAAGGGGTCCCTGCCCGTGGCAGGGGTTGGAGCTGGAGGAGCTTTAAGGTCCCTTCAACCCAAACCAGGCTGGGGTTCTATACTGCTGAGTCCAACAGCTTCAAGTGCTGAGTGTATGGGATGCTGGAGCTCGTGGGGACTCGTGCCCTGCGGTTAAGATGTCTCAGAATGCATTCACTGTATGACACACAATTATTCCCATTAAGGGATTTTAAAGTGATTTCAGTAGCCAGTTGGAACTGGAACTACTGCGTGCATTTAGGACACATCACTAATAATCCATGTAAGTCTGGAGCTGCTTTGTGGGAGTCCATTTGCCCAGTCTTTAGCTTCATTGTGACATCCAGAACATGACTTAATGGAGGGAGTAGAAGCAAGGCTGCCTTGCTGCTTCAGCTGAAGAGCCTGGGGCATACACAGCATGCTGGGGAGCGTGACCACCGTTACATTTTGAGACAGCCCTTGCCAATAGGCATGTATCTATGGGACAGGGAGATACCCAGTGTGGCTTGAGACTGTGGACCTAATATAAAACCCATAAACCACACCTACAGTGAATTTAGAGGAGTCTCTATTGCACCAGGGACTAATTAGCTGAAGCCACTGTTGGTGCTAATGGGGCTCTGTTATTCCCTGCACTTGGGCTGGGTCAGGTAACTGCATTTCCCTTTGCAGGTCTTGACAATGGGTCTTATTCATCCCTATTCTGCTTCTTCTCACATAGTCTTGTAACGGTGACGTCCTCCCTGGTTTGTGACAGTTTGAGAGCCACTCAGCCTCTTTGGGCTGTGTTGCCAAGTGGCGCAGGCTCACCAGATTGGGGCAGATTGCAGCTTAATTGCGCATATTAAAGAGAAATGAGTAAAGCTTTTAAAAGGATCTTCAAGCTTTTTTTAGGAAGTCATGCTGTCACACCTTTATAAATAACTTTTTTCTGCCTTTTGATTGAAAATGTAATGCCCAAAATAACAGGAGTCTACGACTGGGGAAGCTGAGCAAGCAATCAAAAAGACACAAGTGAATAGGATTTATCTATTAATTTATCTTCAACCAGTACTAGAGGGGCTAACATAGATATTAAACCCTCCACTTTTATTCAGTGTCTAGACTTTATTAAACGAGCTAAGAAAGGCACCAAGAGCCAAGGCACCAGAGGGGCCAGCCCTGCTGTCAGTTTGGTCAGTGAGAGCAAGGGCTCCAGCTTTAAATCCCTGCGAAGGACAAAGATGAACACTGGTGGTGTTCATAGAATAGAATCCTGGAATGGTTTGGGTTGGAAGGACCTTAAAGCTCCTCCAGCTCCAACCCCTGCCACGGGCAAGGACACCTCCACTAGAGCAGCTTGCTCCAAGCCCCTGTGTCCAACCTGGCCTTGAACACTGCCAGGGATGGGGCAGCCACAGCTTCTCTGGGCACCCTGTGCCAGTGCCTCAGCACCCTCACAGGGAAGAACTTCTGCCTAAGAGCTCATCTCAGTCTCCTCAACCTCTGGCAGGTTAAAGCCATTCCCCTTGGCCTGGCCCTACAGGCCCTTTTTCATTGGCGACACCACATGAATGAGGAAGGTCACAATGGCCTTTCAGCACCTGCCCTTTCCTGAGGGGTGAAGGGTGTTGCTGCTGCCACCACCACCATGGGGACTTGGTTTAACAAACTGGACCTTTCTGTTCAAGAATGTCCATTTTACACTGCCCTGGTGTTAGTCATTGCTAAAGAGATTATATAGAGGAAAGTCCTTCTGTTGTTCAGCAGAAAGACACAAGGGAAACACCCACTGATGTCAGCTCACTGTGGCTGTGAATAATGGCTTCCCTCTTAATTGCAGTGTTGCAGACACACTGGTAGTTCTTACTTGAGAGGTTTTTAATTAAGCCAAGGCAAAGGTAACTAATGCCTCGATGTTTAGTCCTCCAGAGGTCCTCAGAGATGCAAAGGTGCGAACAGATGATAGCATCCTCTCCTAAGAGTTCATGGTTAGCCTGAAAGTAATGAGCCGCTCTATCTCCATTCTAATGCAGCAGATAAATCAGTGGGAAAGGCAGTCAGTAGCATATGTGGATAGATTTATCTGTTCAACACATCTCCACAGCCAAGTCTGTGCCCTACTAGATAGATGCCTACTTAATGTGCATTAATATTGTCATTGTCTCTGAGCCTGACATCAGAAATATGGCCTATACATGTTATTGTTATACATGCTATACATATATATACATTTTATATATAATATATTCATCTATATATGTTATACATGTTATAGATACTCTATACATAAGTAAAGGGCAAGCCTTTAATAAATCAGTGACAACAATTTGTTACTGGGTTGGTGTTTTAAGAGCAGGGGATATGGAGATGAGTTTGGCCCTAATAAGTAACAACAGAATGGATATGAAAATACAATCTGATATCTATTCTTCGTCCTAATCTGTTGAGGAAAAATGTGTTATTTTGAATAGACATTTTATTTTCCTGAAAATAGGAAAGAAAAATTAATTGAGCTCTATCCATAAGCAGAGCCTGGTGCCCTTCAGACATGCAGAGCTGTGTCCTGGACACGTGCCATGTCCCCAAGTGATGCAGCTTGACAATGGCTGTGCTGAAGGCAGCCCAGCAGGGCTCAGTGGGAAGGGTCAGGCTTGCCAAGGGCAAACAGAGGTTATGTGACTGTTTTGCTTTGCTTTTGGTTCAGTTCAGTCCCCAAAATAGAGAAGGCCCCAGCAGAAACATGTGGGCTTGAACTTAGTCAGCAGAGCTAAGGGTTCGTTTTGCGGGGTGTGATGGTGCTCACACTGCAAACAGCATTGACTCATTCCACCTTTCTTGGTTACAGACAAGCAGAATGATGTGGAGATTCCTTCTCCCACCCAGAAAGACAGAGAGAAGAAGAAAAAACAGCAGCTCATGACACAGATCAGTGGAGTGAAAAAATTAATGCATAGTTCAAGCTTAAATAACACCAGCATCTCAAGATTTGGTGTGAAGACAGAAAAGGAAGACCATCTGGCCAAGGTATGACAGTTCTGTGGGAACTGGGAGTTATCTGGAAGCTGGGGATGGACTGGCTGGCTGGACCGTATCCCCTTGTAAAACTGGAATTGGCATCCCTGAAGTGATGTGGCCATTACAAATACTGTAATTAATGGCTCCAGGCCCTAACAACATATTCTGTGTTAGTAAATTCCTTGGAAATATCCCTAAAATAATAATAAAAATATGATGGAAGCTGAGGAGAGCAGTTATCAGACATAGGAAACTATAACAACACCATGTCCAGCAGTCTGGCTGTGGGGCCTTTGTCAGGGCATTTCTTCTTTCAGCCTGGAAATTCACATCACACATAATTCCCCTGCCACACAAATGGCATTTCTTTGCACAAGTGCTTTGGCATCAGCCCTTTCCAGTTCCTCTGTCTTGGTGTGCTTTAAGTCCATGTGTTCATCACTCACCTAATTCCCACAATGAGCATTGAATTTGCATCTCTTTAAACATTTGGAAAATGCTAAAGATGCAGAGCAAGTGCTAAAGGCAGGATTGCCTTGGAAAAATTGTAACCATTCTCTTTTTGTCCTTTCCAAAGGAACTGGAGGATCTGAATAAGTGGGGTCTCAACATCTTCAATGTGGCCAGGTATTCCCACAACCGGCCGCTCACCTGCATTATGTACGCGATATTTCAGGTGGGTGGTTTTCTGATCAAATCTGCTGCTCTTTTACAACACTCTTTGAGCTCCTAATCGCTTCCTGTCTTGTTGCCTTCTACTGTATGAGACCCTCATCTGATACCTGCATCTATCCTTGTACCATTTATTACACAGGAGCGAGATCTACTGAAAACATTCAAGATCTCATCAGACACTTTCGTGACGTACATGATGACACTAGAAGACCACTACCACTCTGATGTGGCTTACCACAACAGCCTCCACGCTGCTGACGTTGCCCAGTCCACACACGTTCTGCTCTCTACCCCAGCACTGGATGTGAGTTTCCCAGTTTGAGCTCAGTGCTTTGTGTTGGGCAGCTGTTTGTTGGCTTTAAAGGTAGGATGGAGGCTTACAAGCACCGCATTGCCTATGTGAATAGAGAAGGGAAAACTCAAGCTGAGTCAGTGGCCAGTAGCACTGAGACTTGCAAGAGGCTGTGTGCTCTCTGCTCTTCCGAGGGCTCAGTTTACTGCCAGGGAAGTCACCAGTGAGAAATTTCAGCAGCAGCTTTACCTGTAATCTCTGTTTCACCTGAAAAGGGCACATGCTGCTTTGTCGACCTTTCTTCTGCCTAAATGTCTTGCCCTCAGAAAACTCATTTAAAAAGCACAAGTTCTTTCTGTACATCAGCCTCCCAAACTGCTGAGATAAAACATGAGGACTTCTCTGATGAATTCCTTTTCTCTTTCCTAGGCTGTCTTCACTGATTTGGAAATCCTCGCTGCAATCTTTGCAGCTGCAATTCATGATGTGGATCACCCCGGGGTCTCCAATCAATTTCTCATTAACACAAGTGAGTTTTGTTTCAGATACAGTCATAACTTCATCCTCAAACTTGGAATCTAATGGAACTGCATTTTCCCTAACAGTGGGGTCACCCATTACGACTTTCTCAAACTATTGTGCAGTAAACTACTCGGACATTATGAAATAAGCAGTAATTACAATGAAATTCCTAACAAAAGAAGCTATTGTAGAACAATTTGCAAAGTGCCCTTGAAGCTTATGAGTATTACTACTTGCTAATGCATAATAATTCTTCCAGGCCTGAGTGCAAATTTTATTGTTAATAAAAGAGAAATAACACTATTGCTATTGACAACAATGAAGCAAAATATTGTGGTTCACATTGTACTCTGCAACAGCCTAAGCATGTATCTTGATTCCAAGAGATGGGTATTGTTCTTTTATGGAAAGTGTGTTCGTAGGATTCATGCTCTCTGTTGTCAGTGATTCTGAAGCCTGTAACTAAGTCAACCAAGTATTATTTTGTTCATTAGAACTGAACAAAGGGCTGTTTATGTTATATACGTATGTGCTCAGATTGGAAAACCGCACGCTGTTGGCCCACATGAGGCCAAAGAAGAAAACTGTTCCCAATTTATTGCATAGAAATCAACATTTCATTACTCAGGACAAGGGTTTGCTGTCTGAAATCACACCTTTCACGGGCAGGACTCACGTATTTGTGTTGCTTTGCTAGATTCTGAGCTCGCCCTGATGTACAACGATGAATCTGTCTTGGAAAACCACCATCTTGCCGTGGGTTTCAAACTGCTTCAAGAGGAGCACTGTGACATCTTCCAGAACCTGACCAAGAAGCAGCGTCAGACACTCAGGAAGATGGTCATTGACATGGTATGAGCTATGCACACATTGCTCCTCTTCTTAAACAAAAGAGTGGCTGCTTTCTATGGTTGCCTGTACTGAGATCCTGTTTTCACTTCTGCAAAGGTGTTGGCCACGGATATGTCCAAGCATATGAGTCTGTTAGCTGATCTGAAGACTATGGTGGAAACCAAGAAAGTGACCAGTTCAGGGGTCCTCCTCCTGGACAACTACACCGACAGAATACAGGTGGGTCAGCCGGGGTGCCTGGATTTTATGTATTTTGTTGGATTAGATCTTAGGCAGAAGCTCTTCCCTGGGAGGGTGCTGAGGCGCTGGCACAGGGTGCCCAGAGAAGCTGTGGCTGCCCCATCCCTGGCAGTGTTCAAGGCCAGGTTGGACACAGGGGCTTGGAGCAAGCTGCTCTAGTGGAAGGTGTCCCTGCCCGTGGCAGGGGTTGGAACTGGAGGAGCTTTAAGGTCCTTTCCAATCCAAACCATTCCTTGATTCTATGAAACCATGCTCTGGTTTTTACCGGGGCTTTTAAATATAGAAGCTACTGACCTAATTTTTCTTCTGTTCTGCACCACAAAGAGGCACAAGATAGTCCCATGTTTTTTAGATAAATGGGGTTATGTTTGAGCACTTACAGCATGGAGCTGCAAACATGCATGTTCTTCTGAAGCTGATCAGCCTTACAAGGCTGAGTTTTTGAGGGCTCCTGAATTTCCTTGCTGCTTATTCCCATTTGTTTCTCCTGTCAAAAAGATTGCCGTAGCATTGTGAATTTAATTTGTAACCCCTTATCTAAAGCAACTCTCACAGTGAGCTGAAGTTAGTGTCCCTGTGTCATCTAATCCTTTATTTGCAGAAATAACGAAGCAGTTATTAAAACTGGAGCAGGGTTTCATAGTTAGTAGGACAAGATATACCCTGCTCTTCTCTCCACTTTTGATGGACAACTTAAGAGCAGGGAAACCTCTCCTTACAGTTATTTAAGACTGCTGATGTTCAAACGGGTCACTCCATTGCTGTCCAGGTCCTTGCAGCCACGGCTTTTGTGTGTGTGTGGAAGGGATATTACTCATTTAATGAAGCAGGAGCATTTAACCACCTGAGAGCATGGAAATAAAGTCGGAATGGTGGGAAGCACCTGCATTCAAAACCAAACCCGTATGATGTAATTCACATGGCTACAACTACACCCTGTGTAAGATGCCTGAAAAACATAGGGCATATTTCACTCCTGAAGTGGGCCATAGCAGTCAGTCTCGTATATGGAGCTGTTGGGATGTTAATACTTTTGGAGGCTGTTGCATAATCAAAGAGCCTTGTGGTTAAATGTTCTGAACTAAGCAAGCAGATACAGCTTGAAACCATCCTCTTTTTTCCATTTGATTTTATGACTTTTCTGATTAATGTAATTGCAGGTTCTCCGAAATATGGTACATTGTGCAGACTTGAGTAATCCCACAAAGTCTCTGGAGCTGTACCGGCAATGGACGGACAGGATCATGGAGGAGTTCTTCCAGCAGGGAGACAAAGAGCGAGAGAGAGGGATGGAAATCAGCCCAATGTGCGACAAACACACAGCGTCAGTGGAAAAATCCCAGGTAATTGGCTGGGAGCTGCCTTTCTGTACTGCCCAGGCTTGTGTTTCTAAAGCACGCACCAAATTCATCTGCTTTCTCTAGCACAATCAGGCAAAGAGCCAGCTGTTCAGAGGGTTGGTTCTGATTGACCCTGACATCCAGCTGTGCCTGAAGCCCATCTAGACCCGCAAGGCTGTTCAGGCTCCTTTATCTACCCCCTTGGCATCAAATCGTTTCCAGTGCCTCTTCATCTTGCGCTGTTTGTGTCCCAGTTTCCAGAGCGAGTTGGTTTCCTTTTGTTCCCCAGGCTGGAAAAAGTGCAGTTCTGATCTCCCCCTCCTGCCTTCAAAGCCCCCAGCCTCCTTAAATAGCACCTCCTAAACCTACTGCCACTGCATCTCATGTTAGGCATTCATAGCAATGCCAGCTGCATTGAACCATAGGGTTAGGAGCTTCTCCCACCCAAGATCCGCTTGAGGACACTGGAAAGGTGTTTATTCAGCCTTGTGCAGAACAGTTGTGCACTGCACAATCTGTCCAGTTAAGTTCGAGGTTGATGGAGCTGCTGTGTGCTAGGTATATCAAAGAAATATATATCAAAGAAATACCTGTTTCTGTCAATATAAACCTCAAAAGGAGCTGGATACGTCTCTTTTTCCGAGATGAACCGGCTCATCCCTCGTTCTGATTCATAGATTAAATGGTTTCAAGGCCAGCTTTTGTCCTGACCCGTGTAGCACAGGCCATAAAATTTCACCCGGTTAGTCTGTAATGAAGCTGGTAATTTGATGTTTGCCTCAACATCTTCCAACCTTTACATAATGGTGTCTTGGTTGTTGTTTCTAAATGACTCCGGCAAGTCATCGTCCAGGGTTTTCAGCTTGAATAAGTAACAAAATTGATGATAATTGTTTCCAAATGTCCTCTTGGGCTAAGCCAAGTGGTTTCAAAATTATTCACTCAACCACATGGTGATTTTGTTGGAAAAATCTGTCTTATTTGTTAACCTAATGAGAAATGAATCCTTCAGCAAGGCTTGGCCGGAAAAGGCCCATGTGCTCCTCATGTGAGCCCCAGTTAATTTCTTGCTTCACATGTGCACTTCATAGAGGTTCAAAATGGCATTTTTGCCATGCAAGAGAGAACAGGAGTTGCACAAAATGGCTACTGTTGAAATCCCAGCTAGTGGCAGAGGGGAAAGGGAGGTGGCATGTCTGTTCTGGGGTGAAATAAGGAACTGGTTAGAATATAGTATGCAAGTATTACAAAGCTCTAGATCAGAGAATCATAGAATGGGTTGGGTTGGAAAGGACCTTAAGATCATCCAGTTCCAACCCCCTGCCATGGGCAGGGACACCTCACACTAGAGCAGTTTGCTCCAAGCCCCTGTGTCCAACCTGGCCTTGAACACTGCCAGGGGTGGGGCATTTACAACTTCTTTGGGCAACCCATTCCAGCACCTCTCCACCCTCATAGTAAAGAACTTCTTACTTGGTCCTAACCTGAACTTCCCGTGTTTAACGCTGAACCCACCACCCCTTGTCCTATCACTACAGTCTTTTATGAAGAGTCCCTCTCCAGCATCCTTGTAGACCCCTTCAGACACTGGAAGCTGCCCTGAGGTCTCCACGCAGCTTCTCTTCTCTAGGCTGAACAGCCCCAACTTTCTCAACCTGCCTTCATATATTACCTCTTCACATCAAAATCTTTAAGATCAGTGCTCAGCCAGTTGGCCAGCTATTCCATGGTTAGGGATGTTTGTTTAAGGAAACAGTGGCCTGGTTCCAAAGGGACTGGTCTCTCACCATGGGTGCTGGGTAGCCCTGCAGCGTTTTGGGTGGTGGTGAAGCCATCAGCTAACCATAGAGAAGGGTTTTCTTTCGTCACTTTAAAAGTGCTCTGGAACATGTGCTGCAGGAAATTTTCATCACCTTTTTGTTTAAGCTGCCTCCCCAGTACGTTACAATTGAATGTTAATGGTTCTATTGACATCCTGTTGTGTCTGAAGGAGGCATGTGCGATTTCCAAAGCAAACATCTGCACGTTGAGCCTGGCCCCTCTGAGAGCCATTTTCCTGCTGCACAGAAATGTTGTCCAGCAGAGCAAGAAGTGACACATTCTGCCAAGACGGAAGAATTTCAATCCTCTTTATGGCCATTGAGTTTTCTCCATCCTGGACGTACGTCCTCTTACTCAGACAATTGAAAAGTGATTTAGCTCAGAGCTTACGCTCCAGCCAGCGGAAGGGCTGACGGGCTCGGCCACAGCCCTCATCGTTTCCACCTCTGGATGTCATTCCATGGGACTCAGGCAGCAGTGCTCTGTGCTCCTTCATGCAGGAGGAGCACTTCTGACCTGCTTTCAGCACTCGTTCCAAACCGAAGTGAAGGGAAAGGAAACCTCTACCAGCTCCACAGAGAACCACGGTGGCTGCCTTGGCAAAGTAGAGTAGCAGTGTTGAAGTGTTTAAAGATGCAGGGCATGAAGCAGCTCAGAATAGGTACAAACCACACACTGTTGTAAAATGCACTGAAAGGTCAACCTTTAGTCCATAAAAACAGTGACATTTGGTGGCTGGCCTTGGGAGCACTGGTGTTTTCACAGCTGCCAGCCACATCCATACACATCTGGGGTAATGGCAGCGTTGCCATAAATACACCAGCCTTGTCCACAGCCACCAGGGGATCCTGTTGGAGACATGGAAACTTCCTTGATGCTTAGGGTAGAGGCAATAACCATCTAAACTGCCCCTCTGCATTAACAGCTGGTGAGAGGCACCCCTCAGTGGCATGGTCTGTCTTCAAAGTGATGGCTTGCCCTGACTTTCCCAGAGCAGGGGTTGAGCCCCTGGTCAGGAGCAGACATCTCCAGGGATATTTAGAATCATGCAGGCAGCCAGGGATGGGATTGGGAGCTCCATCACTGAGTTTCCCCGTGGCTCCTGCCTTTAAACTTTCATCCAGGATTTGATTTTGGACAAGGCATTGACCTGACCCAATGTTGTAGGTGCGGCTTTGGGTGTCAGAGGATAGAATCCCAGCCTGGTTTGGGTTGGAAGGGACCTTAAAGCTCCTCCAGCTCCAGCCCCTGCCATGGGCAGGGACCCCTTTCACTAGAGCAGCTTGCTCCAAGCCCCTGTATCCAACCTGGCCTTGAACACTGCCAGGGATGGGGCAGCCACAGCTTCTCTGGGCACCCTGTGCCAGCGCCTCAGCACCCTCACAGGGAGGAGCTTCTGCCTAAGAGCTGATCTAAGTTTCCTCAACCTCTGGCAGGTTAAAGCCATTCCCCTTGGCCTGTCCCTACATCCCTTGTCCCAAGCCCCTCTCCAGCTTTCCTGCAGCCCCTTCAGGCACTGGAGCTGCTCTCAGGTCTCCCCTTCAGGAGCCTTCTCTTCTCCAGGCTGCCCCAGCCCAGCTCTCTCAGCCTGGCTCCAGAGCAGAGCTGCTCCAGCCCTCGCAGCATCTTCATTATATCTGCAATTAGACTGTGCTGGTTTGGGGACTTGCTCTGGGTGGGGTGGGGTGTTTTGCTTGTAAAATTCATCTGTTAACATCATTTGAACCTTTTAGATCCATCTTGGCCATTCCCTTTCCCTAAGCATGCTTATCGCTGTGTTTCTTAGGTGGGATTCATTGACTACATCGTCCATCCGCTCTGGGAGACGTGGGCTGACCTGGTGCAGCCCGATGCCCAGGACATCCTGGACACGCTGGAGGACAACAGGAACTGGTACCAGAGCATGATACCTCAGAGCCCATCTCCTCCGCTGGAGGAGCGGGGCAGGGACTGCCAGGGCCTGATGGAGAAGTTCCAGTTTGAACTGACGCTGGAGGAGGAGGACTCGGATGGACCGGAGAAGGACGGCGAGAGCATCGGCTACTTCAGCAATACAAAGACACTCAGCGTGGCCGAGCCAGGGGAAGAGGATTCACAGAGGGAGGCCAACATAGAGATTGTGACAGAAGACACATCTCCTGTGGACACATAATGTCCTGCGCCCGTGTGAGTGGATTTCAAACACTTGAGGAGCATGCAGCAGTCTCACGGACTTGCCTGCAGCCTGGGTCTGAGGCCTGTGCCTAACACGGGCTGACAGATCTCCCCAGCTACTTGAGATTGGAGTCAGGGTTAAAGATCGTGTAGTGAATGATTGCTCAGGAAATTAACAGGTGATTGACGTTGTGGTTTGAATCCTTGTCAGCTCCCAGCATCCTGCTGTCCTGGAGCTGGCTCGGGTCGTGACTGAAGAGTAAATGACACACAACTGAGAGATTTTATACTGTTAGCTTTGGAATTTATACCAGTTAGACTGATAGAAACTACTGATTAATAACTCTCCATATAAAAGCTGTCCACCTGACCACCTGTCTGCAGACCTGTGTGCCTTCTTTGTAAACACTTTCATGTCTTTTCAAGAGTCTCTTAACAAAATACACGGAGTTTAGTATCAAAAGTGACACAGAAGTGTTTCAGAATTGACGGATTCCTTTTTGATTCTTCCTGTTACAAGAAGCAGTCTTCCTTTTTTCCATGGCAATACCTGTCACTTTATTGCAGTTCATCACTTTTACAGACTAAACGGAAGGGGAAACCCTCTCTGTTTTGCATTGCTGCACCTTTAATCGTCCTCTCGCTACCCCAGGCGACCCATTTACAGTCACTTCATGCACCACCTCCGTTCGCTTGCTAGGAATAGCAGTGGGTTTTCCTCCGCGGGGTGTTCTTCTCTGTCGGGAGCAGGATAGAGGGTAGGTTGTTGCCGTACCCCTGTAAGCAGTGATGAGGCAGCGCGGCGCGGTGGGACGGGACGCGCCTTCCCCCTCGGCAGCTCCTGGGCTCCGTGGAATTTGCACGCTCGGATCTTTGTGTTTCCTCCCCTCCACGTCTCCTAGGTTTTGGTCCGCCGCCGTCCTCCTGCACTGCCTTGAGCTCTAACACCTCCATTACTGTTTATAACAGTGTATTTATTACGTAATGTACATACTGTAATGTTTTGTAAGTTATTAATTTATATATGAACCGGCATCGCCTCTCGGCGGCGATGTTCAAGGGGTAGAAAACTCGAACAAGAGTTGCCTTCCCCCCCCCCCCCCCCTTCCTTCTAACCTTTTATATTGCATAAAATACACGAACCTGAACATAGCTGAAGAGACAGACGCAACCCAGGGAGGGCATTCGGGTGGCAGCTGCCTGTGGGGGGGTTCATCTTCACAGACCCAGACCCCATGGCAATGAATGGAAACGCTGAAAAAAAACCTGGAGAAAGGAACCCTAGCAAAGAACCCCCCCCCGCAACGGGGCTGGCTTTTAAACGTCCCCTTCCGCCTTCTGAACAACCCAATGTGAATTTCTATGCCACAAAACCCAATGTGAACTGATGTAATAATTGTGCTGTGAAACTTCTTCTGACAAAGCTTGTCCGGCAGTCGTGAGCCGTGTCAAATCTCAGTTTGTAAAATAATGTTTCAAGCTTTTGGTCCAACTTGTGACTAACTAGTTAATGAAAATAGCACAGTTGTGCATGATCAATGGGTTTGTATGTCTGTTGAACACTGCATTGTTCCAGGTGGTTATTTTATTGTCCCCCCCACCCCTCCAAGTTTCACACAATGTATGTTATAGTATTATATATTGTGTTCAGATGCATTCTTAAAAGAGATTTTTATATGAAGTGAATAAACGAAAGCATGACCCTGCCCTGTGGCTGCTGCTTTCTTTAACAGGTCGCTGTGGGCAAGCGGCAGCGGCTGCAACCTGGCTGCTGGCACCGGTAACACCAAACCCTCCCATGGCCAAACCCCGGCAGAGACAAAGGGGAAGAGACGCAGGCAGAGGGCACGGCCACCCTCTCCATGTGGAGACCTTCTCCTTCCTGAGCAGGGCCGTGCCGGTGGCAGCGGCGACAGGAAGGCGGATGCAGACAGGAAGGCGATGGCCGCAGCGCAGCCTGCGCCCGGTGCAGGGCGGCTCCGGGGCTCAGGGATGCTTTCATGTCCCGGCCTGACCCAAAACAACGGGATTTCCAGTCAAAAACATCCTGCTGGTGGTGGGGGGTGGAAATGAGGGGATGGGGGGGGGGACCAGGGACTGCTCTCGGCTGCTCTTGCTGCGGGTGATGCTGGGGAGCTGGCGGTACCTGAAGGAGACCCAGCACTCCCTGGCTCCATAGAAGCTGTGTGGAAGTGCAGATCCCCCATCCCGTACCCATCTTCTCACCCAGCACTTCATGGGGGACACCTTCATGCCAACACCTCTCATCCGGCTGGAAGGGGGCTGCAGCCTCAAGCAGCTGATGGTAACCCTGGGAGTGGGGCTGCAGCCTCCCGGGGTGCTTCTCCCAGCACCTTGGCATGGGTGTAAGGTGCAGACTTCATGATGATGCCGATCCCAAATTGTTCTCCATGAATTCCCCCCCGAGCATCGTTTCCATTCGCCTTTGCTGCAGCCAGCGCTGCGCTCATGGCTCCCGGGGATGTGCAGAGCTGGGACACGGAGTTATTGGAGTGGAAGAGCATTGGCAGCTCCGGGTGGAGAAGGCAGCAAAGAGCTGGAGCTGCAGGTGAACAACCAGCCCCAGGGCAGCAGGGATGGCACTGGGACGTGGGGCGCCCCGGTGTGGGGCTGACACAGCACAGGGTGCCCCGGTCCCCCCCCATCCCTCCACCAGCCTTCTCTTGCTTTCTTTCTTTCCCTTCCAGTGACCTCGTTCTGCCAGGCCGGTTCATCACAAGCGCATGCAAACACTGTGCTCTTGCTCTGGCACCGAAATAACAGCTCCTTTCACTTCTCCTTCTTGCAGCAGCAGAGAAACACCCTGGTGGCAGCAATGCTGTGAAGCTAACTCGAATCCCTCCTGTTTTCCTCCCATTTTGGGGGTGGGAAATCCCAGCTGGGGAGCAGGGCAGCTTACTGGTGCTTTTTGTCCTTTTCTCAGGGAACGAGGACGCCTCTTGGGTCTGCTTTATCATCCTCCCATCCAAAACTGACTGGCCCTGAGGGCCCCACGGGGTTTGCATGGTTTCCTTCATCATCAGAAGCGGCTCCACGTAGAGGCAGCAATGCAGTGTGATGCGTCCTCCTTGCTTGATGCAGCGAGATGATGGGTCCTGCTCCCCTTTCCCAGTGCTCTCCCCGTTCCCAGCAGCTCTGGCTGCACCCAGACGGGTTGGAATGGCCTCGGCTCAGATCCTGGAGGGGAAAACAGGATGAAAAAGAAAACCTGCGGGAAAACAGGGTGCAGAAAGCACGTCCTTCCAGAGAAGGGGTGGCTCCCAGGTACAAGCGAGGTGTGCATCCAGCTGTGCAACCGCTGTGTGCGTCCAGCTGTGCAACTGCAGCATGCAACTGGGGAGTGCACAGGGCTGTGCAGTGCAGGTGTGCAGCAGGGGCAGTGCTGTGTGCAGGGTGGATGGTGCAGGACCCAGCCTCGGGGACGCAGGATAAGGACCCACAAGCTCTCCCCTTCTCGCTGCCAGTGTTAATGATGGATGCCCCCAACACCCCTACTGCAGCAGTGCCCTAAGCGGCCGGGTCCTCAAGGATTTAACGTCCCACTGGGGTTTCAGAGGGAGTTTCCACCAGCCATAACCCCCCATGGCATCAGTGCTGGGATGAGCCGCTGCTCGCTGTGCTGGAGCGGGGCCGGCCCTTCCCAGCTGCACGGGGGACAAGGGTCCCACAGAGCCCCCAGCACTGCCAGGAAACTCCTGCCCCGGAGGTCGGTGTTGTTCATAGAAACCGTGGTGCAAAGAAATGAAAGAACAAACCCGCTCTGCTGGCTTCCCATGGGGCTCTCCTGGCTGGGGGGATGCTTTGCCATGTGCTTTTTAACTCCTGGTCCATAGGAGTGAGGGAGGAGCGCAGGCATTGCAACCTGCCGTCTACTGCAGAGATGCATGCCAGCAGCTGCAAGCGGTGCTGGTCCCTGCCGCAGCTTCTGCTCGTGTTTTGGCCCCACCAAGGCTGGCTCTGTGTCCATCATGCTGGCATGGGGGTGCCCCATGTGCTTGAGCACACCATGATGCACAGTGCTGTTTCCCTCAGTATGCCAGCCAGCAGGATGGAGTGTTTTGTGTTTCCCAAGGTATAATCATAGAACCCCAGCCTGGTTTGGGTTGGAAGGGACCTTAAAGCTCCTCCAGCTCCAACCCCTGCCACGGGCAGGGACCCCTTCCACTAGAGCAGCTTGCTCCAAGCCCCTGTGTCCAACCTGGCCTTGAGCACTGCCAGGGATGGGGCAGCCACAGCTCCCCTGGGCACCCTGTGCCAGCGCCTCAGCACCCTCACAGGGAAGAGCTTCTGCCTAAGAGCTCAGCTCAGTCTCCTCAACCTCTAGCAGGTTAAAGCCATTCCCCTTGGCCTGTCCCTACATCCCTTGTCCCAAGCCCCTCTCCAGCTTTCCTGCAGCCCCTTCAGGCACTGGAGCTGCTCTCAGGTCTCCCCTTCAGGAGCCTTCTCTTCTCCAGGCTGCCCCAGCCCAGCTCTCTCAGCCTGGCTCCAGAGCAGAGCTGCTCCAGCCCTCGCAGCATCTCCATGGCCTCCTCTGGCCTCGCTCCAACAGCTCCACGTCCCTCTTGTGCTGCTGCCCCAGAGCTGGATCAGGGCTGCAGGGGGGGGTCTCCCCAGAGCACAGCAGAGGGGCAGGATCCCCTCCCTGAGCTGCTGCTCACGCTCTGGGGGTGCAGCCCAGCACACAGGGGGGTTCTGGGCTCAAGCACACACTGAAGCCGGGTCATGGGGAGCTTCTCCTCACCCAACACCCCAAGTCCTTCTCCTCAGGGCTGCTCCATCCAGTCTCCCCCAGCCTTTAGCTGTGCTTGGCAGAGGCTGCATTGAGGTTGATAACGCAGCCCTAAGGATTTGCCAGCCAAGGAGGTGTAGGTGCCACTGGTTTAGAGTTCACTTCAAAGTCCTACAGATGAAAAGAGAGACATGAGAATCAGCCGCTGACAGCTTCGGAGTCAAAAACAGGAAGGAGCTGGGGGCTGGCGCCCGAAGCACTGATGTTATCGACGCTGCGGCGCTGGAACCCAGCCCGAGGGCTCACGGCTCCGGTGGCCTCGGTGCGAAGGGGAGGTGGGTCTGGCAGCAGGGAATCCGGCTGGATCCCGGGAAGGACAGGGAATGGGGTACAGCTGATGCAGTTTAAGATGCCTTTAAGTGTTTTAGCTCTTCCAGATGTGATACGGGGTGCCTAAGGGCTCCCTGTCTCTGAGGACTCACAGTCCCCAACAGGACCAACCTAGGGATATCCTCATCCCCACTGCAGGCTGCTCACCACAGAGAGATTGCTGCAATGAAATATATATATATATATGCATATGAACATCTGTATACTGCAGAAGGTATTTTACCTGCAGGAGAGGGTCACTGCTGGCAGCAGGTCCTGCTGTGGGTCCCCCCCTTGTCCCTGTCCCCTGCTGTGCGCGGCTGCAGCACATCTGCACAGCTCCCATCCTGCTCGCTCACGGCGCCGGCACAGCTGCAGAGCTCCATCTGCCGAGGCCCTGCACCATTGCACATCGCAGCGCGCACTGCGGGGCGCTGCACGGCCACACAGCGCGGGTCCGGCACAGCTGGAGCGGGTCACCTTAAACAGCTGGATACATGTCCAGATGCGGTCCGACAGCCAGGGCGGTGCACAGCTGGAGCCAGGTACTGATGGAGGGGCGCATGGCTGGGGTGCCTGTGTAGTTGGAGCAGTTCACAGCTGGACACTGAACACAGCTGGAGGCGGAGCACAGCTGGGTTCTCGCACATCTGGATTCCCACACATCTGGAGGCAGTAACTCCAGGCCTGCTTTGGGTTACCCCCACCCTTGGGGCTCTCTCTACCTTTCCTGCCCCATCACACAGCTATTTGCCAGCACAAGTCCCTCTTCCTTCCCTCTCCTCCAGCCTACTCCTGCATTGCTCCCTGCTGTCCCGCAGGAGCTCACAGCTCCACATCCCCTGTGCTGATGTGCAAATGCAGCTGGTGGGATCCAAACCCAGCTGCCTGACCCAGTGCCCAGCCAGGGCCACACATGTTTGCCTCTCACCTTCTGTCCCTCCCCTCTAAGAAACCCCTTCAGCTCTTAATATATAGGTCTTGCAGAAAACTCTTATTATAAGGGAGAGATAAATGTTTCCTCCCTGGCCATGTGGGCCACGCTGCTGGTGGCTGGAGGACGCAAACACATAAAGGTGTTTATGGATGCTCAGCCAAACGTGACATTGCCACCACATCAAAGGTGGGGAGCCACAAGGCTTGAGGTCACGCACAGCAGCAGCAGTAACGCTGTGTTTGACGCGCATTAGCCTTGACCCAGGCTGGCCACCACCTCTGCACACAAGCACTGCCACCACCCAGCCTGCAGCAGAGCGCTGGGAACACCCTCAGAAGGTGCAGGAGACAACAGGACCGTGACGATTGCAGGGGTTGAAGAACATCTCCTTGGGGCTTTGGAAACTGGTGAGGGCAAAACTTCCCCCCCCTGCCTGCGCAGGGCACCGTGGATCTTTAACAGCACCCCCTGACCCAGGGATACCCGGGCACTGCAGACCCCACGATGGGCATCTCCCTGTGGAGCACCCACAGGAGCTCCCTGACACCAGAGGAGCAGCTCCTCCACCAAACACAGGCTGGGTGGAGAAGACGGGCACGGAGATGCTGCGAGGGCTGGAGCAGCTCTGCTCTGGAGCCAGGCTGAGAGAGCTGGGCTGGGGCAGCCTGGAGAAGAGAAGGCTCCTGAAGGGGAGACCTGAGAGCAGCTCCAGTGCCTGAAGGGGCTGCAGGAAAGCTGGAGAGGGGCTTGGGACAAGGGATGTAGGGCCAGGCCAAGGGGAATGGCTTTAACCTGCCCGAGGGGAGACTGAGATGAGCTCTTAGGCAGAAGCTCTTCCCTGTGAGGGTGCTGAGGCGCTGGCACAGGGTGCCCAGAGAAGCTGTGGCTGCCCCATCCCTGGCAGTGCTCAAGGCCAGGTTGGACACAGGGGCTTGGAGCAAGCTGCTCCAGTGGAAGGTGTCCCTGCCTGTGGCAGGGGTTGGAGCTGGAGGAGCTTTCAGGTCCCTTCCAACCCAAACCATTCCTTAGTTCTCTGAGAATCCACGTAAACCCTTGCAGCATCCCCAGAGCACACCCTCAGGGCTGGGGGAGCAGACGTTGGGGGGTTTTGCAGCAGAACGGTGGTAAGAACAGTTTCACCATTAAAACACCACAGTTTTTATTATTTTCCTTATTCTCAGCTGAGTTATTTGGGCTGAAACCTCCACCTCACCCCCAAAAACCTGCCTGAGGTGGGAGCTGCCTGGAGCAGGAGCACTCAGTGCATCTCAGGCTCCCTTCAGTGTGGTTTGCTGTGGATCACCAGTAATCCCAGCCTCATTCTTTGACATCTTTCCCCTTGCTCATTAATACCCTCCTTAAGATAATGCTTAAACTATGGGGAAGAAGGGAACAACACAGGAGCTTGGAGCTGTTTTAATGTCTCTCATGTCTAAGGAGGGAGCGGTGTCCAAAACAGAAGGAGCTTCTTTGCAATGCCCACAGCTGGCACTGGTTTGCACACTTCATCTTCCATTTGAAAGCTGATGCTGCTCCCCCCCTCCCCATGTGCTGCTGAGCTCCTTCCCACCCTCAGGGTGCAGCGGTTCAAATCAATCGATGTCTCTTTGGGTGGAACTGGATGAAATGGCACTTCTGGGGCTTCCCCGTCAATGCCCAAAGGCTGGAGTTGGGGTCCCCCTTCCCTGTGCCTGATGGGGATGCTGGATGCCGTGTGGGGCTGCTGGGGGCCGGGGCACAGAGCTGACCCCTGACCCGTGCCAGGGGGCACATGGACAGGGCTGTTCCCGTTCTGAAATGCTGATGCCCTCAGTGATCACATCCAAAATGGGCTTAGCAATGCTGAGATGTGGGGTGTGAAGTGGGGCTGCTGGCTGCAAACCCCCAACTGGGGGGTGCATGAGGTCTTCTTCAGTGTTCCTAAATGACTTCTTCACAGAATCCCAGCCTGGTTTGGGTTGGAAGGGACCTTAAAGCTCCTCCAGCTCCAACCCCTGCCACGGGCAGGGACCCCTTCCACTAGAGCAGCTTGCTCCAAGCCCCTGTGTCCAACCTGGCCTTGAACACTGCCAGGGATGGGGCAGCCACAGCTTCTCTGGGCACCCTGTGCCAGCGCCTCAGCACCCTCACAGGGAAGAGCTTCTGCCTAAGAGCTCATCTCAGTCTCCCCTCTGGCAGGTTAAAGCCATTCCCCTTGGCCTGTCCCTACAGGCCCTTGATCCAAAGCCCCTCTCCCCAGCAAAAAACCCCAAACCAAAACAGTGTTCCCTCTTCCATCTCTTTACTGGACATGTGGGTGGTTGGTCCCTTTGATACCCAGCAGCAGTGACCACCTGGGTGTATGGGGGGGGGCTGCAGAGGTGCTGGGTTTGGAGCTCAGAGCATCCCTGGGCCCCATCCAGCTGCTCCTCATCCCATTGGGAGTGAGCTGAGGCGCTGGGGCAGGTGCTCACCCTGATTACCCGGCTGTGGGTGGGAGCCAGGAGGAGCTCCTGGTGCTGGGAGGAGGCTGCTCGGAGGAGGAAGAGGAGGGCAGAGCAGAGGAAGGTCCATTGTGGCGCGGTGCTGCCCCATGGTGACCCTCCCGGCGCGGCGGAGGTGGGTTTTGGTTGCCGCTGGTCGCCGTGCGGAGGCACGGAGCAGGATTCCCGGCGGGAGCAGGGTGTGCGTGGGGCTCCCACCGTGCTTTTCCGCCCCAGGGTGCAGCCTGATTACCTCCGCTTACCTGGTAGTGATTAAACCCGGCAGCGCTAAACCACCCCTTGAGCGCGCACGTTGCGGCTCTGCGCTGCCAGCACCTCCCTGCCGCGGCGGAGGGGCCCTGCTCGCCAAAATGTGAGTGTTGGGGGGTCACCGAGTGAGCTCCCTGGTGCTGGTCCATGGCTGCTTGGGCCCCTCCGTGCCCCACATCCAGCTCAGGCCTGGGGATGGAGGTGGTCGGTCCCGTGAGGGGGTTTCAGGGGAGCCACTGCCTGTTCCCAGCCCGGTTGTGACTTGGGCTGGGATTACAGGGGCTGCTCCCACCAAGGACGGTTTGGGGTCCTGTGGGATGCTGCTGGGCTGGTTCTGGGTGCTTTGGGGGGTGTTTGACAGGGTGCAAAGCACTTGGCAGGGGCATGTTGGGGCTAGCGGGGTTGTGTCTCCCTGGGGCTGTTTCCTTGTGCGCCAGTGAGTGAAGGCAAGAGGCAGCTGAAGGGCAGGAAGGGGCTTAGGGTGCAGCGTGTGCCTGTGCTCTGCTCCTGGTGCTTCCCCAGGGAGCTGCTTCCATGCTGAGGTTGTGCCCTCCCCTCCATCCAGAGGACAGCCCAGTGCACTGAGTCTCCCTTTAAATGCGGGATAAGCACGTTTTCCCTGGCGCTGTTGGGAAAGCAGGCACCCATCCAGCTCTCCGCCCTCTCCAAGTCCATGTCCCATGGGAGAGGGCTCTCTCCCAGGGACCTGGCTCGTCCCGCATCCCTTGTGTCAGTCCTCGGAGCAGCTCAGTGAGATGGAAAGGGCTCGGTGGCTCTTTGTGCGTGGGAAAACCGGGGATGAATAGAGCAGGAAACTAATAGAGCAGAAGGTAACGGGCTGTATTGTGGAGCGAGGAGCAGCTGCAGCCTGAAAGGGGCCCTGTGCCCGGGATGCGCTGGGATGCGGGTGGGAGATGCTCCTCTGCTTTCGTCCCTGCTGCTCCCACCCTGAAGGGTGGTGATGGGATCCTGTGCTCAGTGTCAAGGGATGAGCTGGGGGTCATTCCTGTGATGTCCGGGGGCTGGTCCAGCCCTGCTCCTGCCATGGGACTCAGTGCACGTATGATGGCTGTGCAAAGCATGATGTGGAGTGATCTTAAGGTTCTTTCCAACCCTAAATGTTCTATGATTCTATGGTCCAGCCGGATAGCATCCCAAGGTGCGGCATGTTTAGGTTCAGCTCCACAGTCTGCAGCATTCCTGAGAAGGTTGTGTGAGGGTATTTGGTGCTGAGGATGTGGCTGATGGGCTGCTCTGGCTCCATGCAGGAGACCTGGGTGAGATGCTCCTGGTTGAGCCCTGCATCCCGTAGCCCCCTTCCCTGGTCGGGAGAAGCCTTTTGAGCAAGGTATCTTGTAAATACGTCACTTTATCAGAGCCCAGATGGCAGCCTGTGCAAGGCTTTGGGTTTGTCCCCAGCTGTCCTATGGCAGAACACCACCATCAATGTTCACAGTGAGTCCTGCATCCCAGGATTTAAATCCTCCAGTGTCCTGCATGGAAAAACCTGATTTTCTAGAGGCAAATAGCTGAACTCTGTTGGAAAGTCTAGTTTGCAGTGATGGGGAGGAAACCCCAGTGCTGTGTGGTGACGGGAGCGATCAGTAATGGGGATGCTGAGGGTCTGGCCTCCTCCACCGCGTTCCCACCAGCACCAGATGAAGGATGAGCTTATTTTACTGAAGGTTTAACTATGGTTTAGCAAAGGGGCTGTGGAGCCCCAGGCGTGGATGTAAACAAGGCACCGGCTGCCCGTTACTGCTGCTAATGCTGGGGGATTTGCCAGGGCCGGATCCTGCGTGGGGACAAGGATTGGAGCTGTATATAGCAAATCCCTGTCCGTGCTGCATCCCGGGGGCACCCTGTCCTGGCCGGGGCCGAGCCGGGCTCTTCCTGGCGCCTGTCACATGCACCTCAAGCATGACTCTGCTGGGATGTGAGTAATGTGCTCAGTGACTCACTTTCTGCCTTTCATTTTGTTAATGCCATTGACTTGTCTGTTGGTGTTTGCTGCAGCCCCGGAGCGCGTATCCTTCAGGAGCTGCCTGAGATTGCCCGTGCTTTAGCTGGGAAATGGCCCTGTGTCAGCTGCTGCGGTTGGGAATCGTATAGAAATCCACAAGTAGCAATTTTTGCCTTGGAATGAATGGGCTCGTTGGCACGCTGCCCTGCTGGGGTACCAGGAACAAGGCTTTCCCTGTGCCTCCTGGGTATGGGAAGAGCCAGTGCAGGGAGCAGGTTCATGGTGTCACAGAATCCCAGCCTGGTTTGGGTTGGAAAGCACCTGAAAGCTCCTCCAGCTCCAACCCCTGCCACGGGCAGGGACCCCTTCCACTAGAGCAGCTTGCTCCAAGCCCCTGTGTCCAACCTGGCCTTGAGCACTGCCAAGGATGTGTTTAACTCCTACAGGCCCTTGTCCCAAGCCCCTCTCCAGCTTTCCTGCAGCCCCTTCAGGCACTGGAGCTGCTCTCAGGTCTCCCCTTCAGGAGCCTTCTCTTCTCCAGGCTGCCCCAGCCCAGCTCTCTCAGCCTGGCTCCAGAGCAGAGCTGCTCCAGCCCTCGCAGCATCTCCATGGCCTCCTCTGGCCTCGCTCCAGCAGCTCCACGTCCCTCTTGTGCTGCTGCCCCAGGTTAGCTCAGGGTTAATTTTACCCTCGGGAAGCCGAGTTTCGCTCTTGCCCCATGACAGGAATTATTTCATAAGGTCGAGACATCCCACAGAGCTGAGCAAGCCGGAGCCGTGCTGGGATTAGCAGTAATGCAGGGGTCCCCACCTGTGCTACCGTGGGTTATGGGGGCACAGTGTGGGGGATGCTGTGAAATGGAGGAGCTTGGTGACAACAACTTATTTACCCGTTGCCAGCTTGGGAAGGTGTTTGCAGGGAAGTTACAGCTCTTCCTGCTTGGTTAAGAAGGATAAACCTGGCTGAGGAGTGTCATGGGAAGCAGCACCACTGGGATGCAGGATGGCTACAGCAGCGCCGTGATAAGGATAGGTGTTATTTTGGTGTCTCCAGAGGGATTTGGACATGGTGTGTGCATGCCCATCACCCAGACATCCTGTCACTGTGCCAGCCTCTCTCCTTGGGGTGTTCTTGGGGGGGGGGGACAATGGAGCCACGTTCATCTCATTGTGCTCACCCTGGGATTACAAAGGGATTTTCCACAGGCACCATCCCCATCCCACTGCCCTGTGCCCGTGCAGAAGGTGCCGGGAGTTGGGACAGGTCACGGGGGCTCCTGCAGGGATTAACCCACCATCTGTTAAATAATCCCAGCCCTTGGGGGCATCTCGGTGCTGTGATGGGTGAGGGCTGCGGCTGGGGATGCTTTGGGTTGGGATACTCAAGGCTGGAGGCTCTGATGTGGGGTTGAGTCTTGTTTCCCCAGTGGTGCATCCAGACCCTCGGAGGTGCTCGGCTTTGGGAGGGTTTCAATGGGGGAAATGAGAATTATTTGTTTAATGGGGGGAAATGAGTAGATTTGTTTATTTTGTTTTGTTTTTTTTTTTAATAGAAGAAAGATAGGAATTTTTAATGGGGAAAGATTTTTTTTTAATGGGAAAAATGGTAGAATTTTAAATGGGGGGGGGGGGGAAGGTTTATTTTTTTTTTTAAATAGGAAAACAATATGGGTTTTGCTTTCCCTGCCTGTGTGCAGAGTGAGGTCCTGAGAAACGTGTGGCTGCCTTCAGTGGTCCTAAAGACGGTGATGCAGGGTGAGAGGTGGAGGTTGAGGTTCCATCAGACACAAGGTCACACAGAAAAGCTGCATTGGCAAATGCTGAAACAGGCTGGTTTCAGCTCCTCCAGCTCCAGCCCCTGCCACGGGCAGGGACCCCTTTCACTAGAGCAGCTTGCTCCAAGCCCCTGTGTCCAACCTGGCCTTGAACACTGCCAGGGATGGGGCAGCCACAGCTTCTCTGGGCACCCTGTGCCAGCGCCTCAGCACCCTCACAGGGAAGAGCTTCTGCCTAAGAGCTCATCTCAGTCTCCCCTCGGGCAGGTTAAAGCCATTCCCTTTGGCCTGTCCCTACAGGCCCTTGTCCCAAGCCCCTCTCCAGCTTTCCTGCAGCCCCTTCAGGCACTGGAGCTGCTCTCAGGTCTCCCTTCAGGAGCCTTCTCTTCTCCAGGGGTGTCTGAACTTTCTGAGCTGTTTAGACCCCATTTTGCCAGGACCGGATTTGTGCCTCACGTATTTACTGGGGTAAACCCGGTGGTGTCCCGCATAACCCCTGTGCTGGAACTCCCCGTCACCCCCAGCCCTTGTAAGCAGCTCTGAGAGGTGCTTCCCAAGCCAGGGAGGGTCCCGCAGTGCATTCGGGGCCGGCTGCGGCTCAGCGCTGTGCTGAGGGGAGCTGGAAGCCGGGGCTGACAGAGAAACGGGATGTGTCAGTTGGCCGGGGCAGGCTCTGATGGCATCTCCTGGAGGGTGGCTCCGGCTGGTG